CTTATTTCGCCCTTTACTCTGTAACATCTTATCATGTACTACCCAACATCTTATCTTTTAGCCTGTACAAACTCTAAAATGATTGTGACACATCAGCTCAATCTGTTAGGAAATCACCTACTGCAACAAGGGTGTAATAGACTGTTCATGTTCATTTGTGGCTTTGCTTATTAGCCATTTAGGTGGCGAGCATGGAGTCTATAACCAAAAAAAGCAAATGGGCTAAATCATTACGATTACTCTGTAAGTTGTCTTTGACAAAATTGCTCTTTCCTGTAATAATTTCTTGCTCCCCAAAAGTTTGGGACCCCCTGGTTAAAATATTATGAGTGCAACTTTGATTTAAAACAAATAAATAAATAAATAACAATTGTATTCGCCCAGCTTGGTTGGTTGAAAAGAGGTTTAGTGCACAAAAAGCAATCCTCTTGATGCAGGTGTGTTTTCAGCCCTTGTTAGGTTTGTGCTCTTTCACCAGTTGCGTCAGCAACCCTCTAAACCATGTCGGGTGGCTTTTGGCTGCAAGCCAGTGAACAAATGATGGCTTCACCTCAGCAAATTCACATGACTGGCATCGTGCCACCTGGTCAAACCTTCTGCATACACACGTAACTTTACCTCATCACTGTCCTTTGGCCTATTTTTATTCTTCGAAATGTACGGTTACACATACGAACAGGCTCTTGCATCAGTCTGCGATACTACATCTCCACAGTGCATCTTTATGGCATTTATAATGTATAATAAATACTGTAGTAGTCAGCTGACCCATAGATGACTTTAGGTGGTTTCCATATTTTTTTGTTTTAACTTCTTCCAAATCTTTATTGGAGTAATTTGCCAATTTAATTTACCAGTATACATTATACGTATCCATTTTGACTGTTGAGTGTTAGTGTATTTAGAGTATGTTGTATGGATTTCCAATCTTGAACTGTTCCTTCTTCATTAGGAGTTGTTCTCTTTCTAAGGGATCATTTGTCTTATCCAGTGGTCTAACATTATGCCACATGTATTTTTCCAGCCACACTGTTAGGTTTTCAAAACTAGTGAAAATCATTAATGCTTATCCATTTAGATTACACTTATGTTCATCTGGTTACAAATAAGAAGTGGTTTCTGTTTCTTGTAATTAGTTTTGAAATGATGTACTCGCATGTCATCGGACCTCTTTTATTGTGCACTGCACTCCCAGACACACAAACATGGTCTTCCTTTAAACGCTGCATTTAGTACATACATCTGATATGTTTAATATTACTCACTTTAACTTGACAGGTGCTGCATATATTTGCAAAATGGATTACAGCACGGTTTTCAAGCTTCGGGTGAGGTTTTAATTTTAATTCACCATTTGAATTGTGCAGGTGATGGTCGCTACTCTCTTTTGGGGCAGCCCCTCCAGTATAGTCTGTGTCCCCCACACCTCATGCACGGTCAGTCCTCCTACAGCTCTCATCAGGTTAGTATTGACAAGCCTTTGTCCTGAATTCCATCTTAATGATTAGGGTATTGACTGATATTGATGTTTTCTAGTAAGAGCCTTTTAGTTTGTCAGTGTGCATTAATCAGTTTCTCTGGTTTAAACTTATTGCTTTAGTTTGTGGACATTTGTTTTTTGTTTGGGTGCTGTCATGAATTCTGGGGTGTAAAAACTTACCACCAGCTACAGAACTGTTTTTGAAGAAACAATAAATCTGAAGGCATGTGAAGAAACTGATAGCTTCTTAAGAATGACATTTTTGTTACTATAACACAAGGAGAAGCTGTTATTTTGTTATTCTTAATATTCTTAAAGCAATGTAACATTTGATTTGAATTCATTGCTGATTGAGACCCATTGATTATCTGTCTGGGCTCTGTGATTAAAGTGCTCCAGAATTGAGAATCACACAACTTTTGTGCGTTACAGTCATAAAATGTGGCCTTTGAAGGATTAAAGCTCTTTTTAGAGCACGTTGTGTAGCTAAAGCGGAGTGTTTCAAAGATTTGAAATCTGTGAGCTGTCATTTTGTTTCTCTGCTGCTGACCTTCCAGTGCCCACGAACTGTGCAGTCTGGTGAAATGTTTTTAAGGGTACAACTGATATCACATACCCCCACCTAGTGTCCTCCTTTGTTACTGCATCTTTATGAGTGTTATCTGATGTGTTTAGGGCCAAGGAGTAATGAAACACGGAGCACGAGGGAAAAAACAAACACTCAAATCTGCATCAACAGATCTTGGTACCACTGATGTAGGTAAGTTAGAAATCCACCATCACAGACCAGCATAAATCGGCAAGTGTCCTTTAATTTTGTGCTGGTATGTTTTTAAAGAGTTACACAACTTAAAAGAACCCTGAGTTTCAACATTCGGTATGTTGTTTTTGTAACAACACAGCTTCCTAACTCGACTGGAATCTGCAGTTTACTTTATTCTTCTTTATCTTTATAAAACCCAAGAATTTGTGGCACGTATAAGACACGCATGAGAAAGTTGCGTATCTTCTTTTCTTGTCTGAGGACATACGGATTATAAAAGCTTGTTACTTAGGTGAAAGCAAAGACTGTGTATGTGTGACTTTATTATTTTTGGTAGCCTATATTCCTGTGCTTTTCTCTTTTTGGTTTGCTCACATTATATGGAGTTCATTAGTATTATCATTGTCCCTCCTCGTTCAGTGGTGAGTCGAGTACTCGAGGTGACAGACCTGCCGGAGGGGATCACACGTCCAGAGGCTGAAAAGCTCTTCAACCAGCTGTCGCTGTGCGGTGCCAAGATCCAGTGGCTGAAGGAGCCCCAAGGAGGCCGAGGAGGAGCAGGGGGCTGCGGCCCCTGTCCTGGTGCTGGGCCTTCAGGGCCAGGAGCAACAGCAGGCCCCGGAGCTAGCATGGGAGCTGGGGGAGCGAAGGGCGACGGAAACGACCCAGCTCACCTCTACACAGTAGTGGCAGTGTTCCCCAACACCATGGCTGCCCAGAGTGCTTCCTTCAAACTTAACAACAGTGGGGCCAGCCTCTTCAAACTGAGGGCCGCCAAAAAGAACTATGACCTGCGCGTGCTGGAGAGAGCCAGTTCTCAGTGAGAGGAAAAGAGAGGGGGAGGAACGAAGGTGAAAGACAGACAGAAAGAGAGACACTTGTTGGAGTGGTGGAAAAGGGGGAGGACTGAGGGGGACTGCTCTTAGTGTACAAATAAAAAAAAAACAAAAAAAACCAAACTTGATTTAAATCATGTGTCAAATGTATAAAAGGGAAGAGGGTGTGAATCATGAGGTGGCTGGTGTTTGGTTGCAAATATGATTTTGTTGTTTGTTTTTATTCATTGTTTTTGTTTTGTATTTATATCGCAGAAGAGCACACAAGACACGCGAGCATGTGTTTCACTGTTGCCGTGGAATGTGTGCTGCCATGATACAAAAACACACATAACAGAAACACAAGTGCAGGCAACAGGGTCACGTAGCACATAACAAAAACACACTGGACAGTCGACCTCAGTCAAACCTTTTCCTCCTCTTCCTCCCTCCCCCCCTTGACCCTTCCTCCTTTTTTTCTGCCAGCGCTTTCTCACCTTCCTCGACTTTCTGTCACACAGTCGTCTCTTTATCTCACATATTTATAAATTTTCATACGGCACAGTTGCGTACGCTCCGCTTTCTCCTGCTGCTCCCCCCTCTTGCCATGTCTCAAACTGCCTCCTATCTTTCTCTGCTCCTCTGTCCCTCTCATGTATTCTGTCACTGCTCTCTCCTCTCTTGCTTTGTTTGCCTTACTGCTGTTGTGGGTTTCTGTATTGCGCTGTTTTCTTTTTTCTTTTTTTCTCAGAAGTTTTTCTTTGTTTGTTTTTTGGGGTTCAATATATTTATATAAGTGATGTAAGGAATAAAAGAAATCTATATATTCGGTGAATTTTTTTTTTCTTCCCTCCCCCCCTGAGTGACAAAGGTTAGGCCTTCCTATTTATCCCTTTACTCCTTCCCTCTTCATCCCCGCTCCTCTTCCCATCTTTTTTTTCCTTACTGCCCTCTACCTCACTTCTTCTGCCCCTCTCCTCTCTCCCACAGCCGCCCCACATGCCCCAGCTCCACCCACCCGACGCCCCATTGTGTTTGCGTTTTTTTTTTTCGTTGACAGCTGTGCAGAACGTATCAGAAGAAGTAGTAAAAGTGCACAATGATTGCATATGTCTACTGTAAATTTTATTTAATCTGTTATTTTTTGGTTCGTTTTTAAAAATATAAAAGTCGAGAAAAAAAAATCTATGAACACATGCTTTGTGTCGTGGTTTGTTGTACTGATTTACTAAAGCTGACTGTGACATCTGAACCTAGAGGTGGTACCCTGCAAAAGCGCTTTGCAGTCTTCTGTCCTGCCTGGTCTATCCACCTTGCATTTTTTAAGGATTTTTGCCTCTCTGCAGTAACAACCATATTTTAGGAATCATCTACTGTCATGGCTAAAAACTCTGTTGGCCAATCAAAATTACCCTTATTGGCCAAGCTTTCAAAGACACTAGGATAATGAACATACAAACTAATATACAGTCAGGTCCATAAATATTGGGACATTGGCACAATTCTAACATTTTTGGCTCTATACACCACCACAATGGATTCCAAATGAAACGAACAAGATGTGCTTTAACTGCAGACTGTCAGCTTTTATTTGAGGGTATTTACATCCAAATCAGGTGAACGGTGTAGGAATTACGACAGTTTGCATATGTGCCTCCCACTTGTTAAGGGACCAAAAGTAATGGGACAATTGGCTTCTCAGCTGTTCCATGTTGCTGTCAACCGCCAAGATGAGATCCAAAGAGCTGTCATTATCAGTGAAGCAAGTCATCATTCAGCTAAAAGAAACATCAACAGATAGCAAAAAAAGGCGTGGCCAAAACAACTGTTTGGAACATCTTAAAAAGAAGGAACCAGTGAGCTCAGCAACACCAAAGGACCCAGAAGACCACGGAAAACAACTGCGGTGGATGACCGAAGAATCCTTTTCCCGGTGAAGAGAACACCCTTCACAACAGTTGGCCAGATCAAGAACACTCTCCAGGAGGTAGGTGTATGTGTGTTAAAGTCAACAATCAAGAGAAGACTTACCAGTGTGAATACAGAAGGTTCACTACAAGATTTAAACCATAATCTGGCCTTCCAACTCAACTGTATATACATAACACTATTTATTACATATTACTTATGGCTTGTATATTGTACATTTTATATATATATGTTTTTCCCTATGTTAATACTGTCCATATGTACATAGCGCTGCAGAACTGTACCCCCCCAGCATGTTTACACTGAGTAGGAGATGCTCTGTATCTCATTGTACAACTGTATAGTAACAATAAAGGCATTCTATTCTATTCTATTCAAAACAGGAAGGCCAGATTAGTTTGCCAAACAACATCTAAAAAAAGCCTTCACAGTTCTGGAACAACATCCTATGGACCGATGAGACTAAGATCAACTTGTACCAGAGTGATGGGAAGAGAAGAGTATGGAGAAGGAAGGAACTGCTCATGATCCTAAGAATACCACCTCATCAGAATCAGAA